AGTCTTTTGTCAGCAATCTGAGGTCTCTGCAGATCAATGAGCAGCTGCCTATGGGAGCTGCAATTGCCCTGGCATTCTCTGGCCAAGCAGAACAACAGGCCACCGAGTTCAGCCAACTTCTTCACACAGCTGCTGGGGGAAACACAGGTGATGCTTGGCTGGGTCTCACACTGGCCGACAGGGAGCTGGTCAGGGCTGTGATAGTCAGGGCAGCTTTGGCTGCTTTCACCTGACATGGACCTGATACTTGCAGAGGAGTGTGAAGGCTCCAGCTGATAGAGTTTCCTTACAAGTAAAAGAGTAGACAGGGATGGTGTGGGCCTACTGTTGTGTCAATAAGCACAGGAGCAGAGAGGGCTGATGTACCTCACGGCTTCTTTGCCTCTGTCTTCACCAGCAATGCTTCCCTGGCTTTCATGCCTGAAGGCAGGATTCTAGAGCACAACTACCAAATGACAGGAGAACTCCTCGACAGCAGTCCTGCCAAGAAGGTCTTGGGCTTCCCTGGTAGACAAAAAGCTTCACCTGTGTCAGCAGTGTGTGCTGGTAGTCCAGAGAGCCAACAGTATTCTGGACTGTAACAAAAGAGTGGTGGGCAGCAGGGCAAGGGAGGCGATCGTCATTCTCTACTCTGCCTTCATGAGGCCCCAACTAAAGTACTGTGAATCCTCTTGAACTTTTTTTTTTTTTTTTTGGGGGGGGGGGGGGTAATTTTCTAAAAACAAATCTGTAATACTGAGCCCTGCAGAATTATAAAAGTGTAATATTCTGTATTTCATGGAACACAGTGCACCAGAACACTTCCTGCCCAGAGTCTGCATTCTTAGATCATAAAATCAAACAACTATAGACTTACTATTGGCCACTTCAGTGACGTGAACTAGTGGAAGGTGTCCCTGCCCATGGTATGAGGTTTGGAACTGTTCATTAATGTCCCTTCCAATCCAAATCTGCGATTCTATTAATTTGCATCATAGGAAGTGGAAAAAACTCACCACTTGTGTGCAGGAAAGGGTGGGACAAGGACGGTCACTGCCTGATGGGACACAGAGCAGTGTGAGAAGGGAGCAGAGGCCATGCTGTGAGGGACAGCAGCAGCTCGCATGGCATCAGGAGGCAGAGAGGTGGGAAATGCGCAGAGGGCACTGAGAGCTGGAAGGCAGCACTGCGACCTGGTGGGCAGTCAGGGCTCACAAAGGCAGCAGTGCTCAGGGAACCCACCGTGATGCCATCTCAGGTCCGGATGACCAGGGAATGAAGGGGTGAATGGTGTCTGAACTGCCAAATGGGAGTATGGGTATAGCAAATGAGGGGAAAGTGGAAATACAGTACGTGAGAGCTGGTAATGGGAAACGATTGCAGCAGAGAGAGGGAGGACTGAGTGAATGAAGGTCGGTGGAAAAAAAAAGATGAGGAGCTGAATGCAAGTGTCCAGCTGTGTGTGGGCAGGGTGGTCAGTGCTGCACCGAGCAGACGCTGCCTGGTCACTGTGCTCTCCTGCTCTCATTAAACCCTGCTCCTGGGTATTGCTGTGTGAATGCAGCCATTGTGTGTGTTTGGGGTGAATGTGCTGGCCAAGCTCAGGTGGGACTGAACTTCCCCAGAGGATTCTGTTTGGGATTGTACATACTGGAGGCATTTTGGTATAAGCATCAATTAAAAAATGGGGATTGGTGTTTTCCTTGCTACTTCTTGACTACTGAAAGGAGGTTGCTAAAAGCCTCTGTTTTACCAAAACTGTTTTAATTTATTTTTCTCCTAACGTAAGTTTTTGTGAATTAAATTGGGTTGGCCTCGGGAAAGAAGGTCCCAAGGTGTCAGAGATCAGCACTTAACCATAGAGTTAGGCAGTTGTGCTTGAGAAACAGCTGTATTTTTTGAGTGAATGGTCATTTATAGAAGCAGAAAAACCATCTTTGATGCTAAATTAAAGATGAGTGTTCAACACTCGGTGGCATTATAGGTAAAAATACTCAGACTCCATTTACCAGGAAGAAAATCCAGTGAACATGGATAAGGAGCAGTCGTTGCAGGTTTCTAGGCACTGCTTTACCACACAAGTGAGCGTTTATGTCCAGCTGGAATGTATTGGGCAACTTCTTTGGCATGTCCACTACTGATATTATATTTCAGGATAGAAAGAAAAAGTGAAACATTAATGAACAAAAAATGTTCAGTTTCAAGATGCTGTTTGGCATGATGTTCAGCTGTGGGAATTAGCAAGGATGGCAGAATTCAGGAGATTTTTCTTTAAATGGCTCTTCCTGTATTTCAGCACTTGCACTGCTAGCTCCAGCTTACAATATCCAGGCTCCACGTGGAGCACCCTCAGTGCTGTCAGCTCCTGCAGCCAGTTTTAAACATCCCTAAGCTGGTTATTTCAGAACTGAAAATATAGCACTCATTTTCCTGTCAAGGCCACCGTTTGCTCTTGCCAAGTCTGGAGTTGTAAATCAAAGTTATTTCTGACGCAGTGCAGCAGCTGTGAGAGAGGAGGAGGAAAAATGTGAAAGAAAGAATACTGCAGACACCACGGTCAGTGATGAAATAGAGGAAGAAAGTGCTCCAAGTGTCAGAGCAGAGCTGCTCCTGCAAGCTGTAAAGAAGACCATGGTTGCCCCTGGCAGACCCTAAAGAACCACATCCTAGCAGATTCCTGCACTGCGACTTGTGAAGGACTCTGCATGGGAACTGTTGAGTCCCAGCCTGAACCACTGGTTGAGCACCTGTGGGAAAGGACCAGGTCAGCCATGGGAGCACAGGTGAAGGCAATTCAGCTGTGCAACAGGAAGGGCTGGAGCCTGGCTGCACCTCCCTTAGGCCCCATTTCAGGGCCGACTGCCACAGGAGAAGGATCTCTGCCTGGAGATCCCTCCTTGGTGGAAAATTCCCCTGCAAACCTGCAGTCTACTAATGGAGCTGCCATTACCCAATCAATCAGAGCATTAACCACAGTCACTAGTCATAGCAATTAATAAGCTATTTGGAGAAAATAAATAAAAAGCGAGAAATCCCCACAATCTTCTACTTCTCACCACTGGAAGTACAGCAGGCATCCCTTCATCCTCACCACCACAAAGTGTCAGCAGTCCCAGCAGTGCCTGTCTCCAGTCCTGCCCATTTCAAGTCCCTTCCTGCCTCTGACGTAGCCCTGACCAGGCCCTGCTGTGCCCCCATTCCCTGTTTACCCATCCCTGTTCCTGTCCTGTCCCTGATCCTCCATCTCCTTGCCCATGTTCTGGTCCTGTCCCTGTCCCTACCCTACCACTATCTCCACACCCATCCTCACCCTTTTCTTTATCCTGTCACTGCCCCTGCCCCTCTCCTTTCCCTTTCTTGCCCATCTCCTGCCCCTGTCCCTATCACTTGCCCTGTCCCTACCCTAGACTTTTCCCTATCTTGCCCCTGTCTCTGCCTGTCCCTCTCCTGTCCCCTTCCCTCCCCTGTCCCTGTGCTGTCCCTGCTCCATGCTGCTGACAGAATCTCCTGGGAGCCCACCACAAAGCTGAAAGAAAACTGTAAGACAGAAGAACAGAAGTGTACCACAACTTTTAGAATAATAAAATCTCAGATTCCTGGGGTCATAGAATCATAGAACCACAGAACCACAGAGTCATAAAACCACAGAATCGTGAATCATATGGGTGGGATGAGATTCCAAAAGTCTCATCAGGAGACACATGTTCTCTTCTTTAATAGCTGACAGTCAGAAATCACCATGTTCTATCCAGAAGTCTGTATCGCATACCTGCAGTGGAAATAGTGATGCCTCTGTCTGTCACTAGGACACACAGACTGGGAATCAAAGGCTGAGAGTGAAAAGGTTATTAAGTTTTGAAGTCATTGGATTATGTGCCTAACTTTCAGCAGAACAAAGATGTCCTACTGGTTTTGTTCCCATTATGGGAACAAAAAAGCCTCCTGTCATAGTTTCAAATAAAGTGAGTCTTATTTTATCTTCAGACGAAGAGAGAGGAGTAATGAAACACTGATAAATAACTTAAAACTGTAAATGACTTGATGATTCTTCAAGGAAACACGATATGCCAATTTTAAGTGTTACATCTGACAGAATATGTATCTGCTCACAGCTTGAGTGGATATTTACATAAGAGATGGGCCATTTGTGAAAAGATCACTTGAATATTTGCTTTGAGAATTGTCCAGGGAGCAGTCAGGTGGAAGAGTTTCCTGCCTCTCATCTATACGTTTGTACAGTCAACAAATGTACAGTTGGAAGAGTAGCGCGGTTAGGATTATCGTTGTGGAAAAAAGATTATCATGGTGGAAAAGAGACAATCGAAGAAAAAATGTTTACTTGTATCCGAGGATCTAGGCTCACAGTGGAAAATTCAAAAAAGGAGGGATCTCCAGAAAGAGATCCTTCCCCAGTGGTGGTCAGAGCTTAAATGGGGTCTAGGAGGGTAGAGTGTATTCAGTACATCCAACCAATAATCCAGCACTACTAACTCTACTACTAAACCCTATCTGTGGCACATCACTTGTATCCGTGACATAACATCCACTTTTTGTGGCATATCACCCTGCTGGGCCCTGGGCTTGTGTTGCTGGGTAGCAGTTGGAGGGACTGTCATTGCATCTCCTTTGTTGGGCTGATGAGCTTTGAGGTTTTTTGCAACCTAAATGATTCCAGAATTCTAAGACATTAGGATTCTAAGATTCTAGGATTTCCTGATACCAGGTTTCTAGGATTCGAGTTTTTACATTTTTAGGACTGTAAGGTTCTAAGCTTCTAGGGTTGTAGGATTCTGAGGCAGTGCCTGGACACCAAAGGGACACTGCATGAGGAGATTTCTTCTACATGACATTTTTACAGAACTCTTACACTTGTTTGTTTTTTGTTTTTACAGTCCATAACTTAAACTTGAACCTGGAAAGAGATGATGAGAAAGATGTCTTGATGTGTTTAGTTGACAACAATGAGCACAAACATGAGATCCATGCCTGCTAGATTGATCTGGAAGCACAGACCTGGATGATGGGAAGATTTCCAAAAGCATTTTTCCAGCATTTTGGGGGACTTCTGGCCTCAGAGCGTATGCACTGCGGTGCTAAGAGGCTGCCCTCCTGCAACGGTGACAGCAGCGGCTCCACCCCCAGTAACCTGGGTGGGGACAGAGAAGGGTACTGAGGCCCCATCCCTGCCCAAACGCCGTCCCTGCCCACGGTGCGTCTCCGTCCCTCTCCCTGTCTCACGTCCCTTCACGCCCCACGACGGAGTCCTCGTTCCTACCCTCGTCCCCGTGACCCCTCGTAGCCCGCGGCGGGGTTCCGTCCTTATCCTTGTCTCCACGTTCCCTCGCTCTCCGTGCTGCGGTCCCTTGTCACGTCCCTCACCCCTCACACCCCGTCCCGCTGCCGTTCCCCTCCCGGGACCGCCGCACTGCCGCCATTTTCTCCGTCGAACGGCGGCTCCATGGCGGCGGCGGCGGCCTCAGGCGGTCGAGGGCCGCAGCGGCCGAGGGCGCCGGGGCGCAGCCCGTCCCCGGGCGGCTACCCGAGCTCCAAACCGCTCGGCCGGGACGGCTTCGCTTCTCGGCGCCAGGACGGGTCCGTCTCCCCGGGCCCGCGGCGGGAGCTCCCCGGGCACTGTCGGGGTGAGGGCAGCGCGCGGGGCTACGGGGCCGGGGCTGGACACCCGGCCGGGGCCGTGCCGAGTGCTCCCCTTCGGTTCCCTTCCGCAGAGCCCCTCCGCACCGGCGAAGATGAGGAGAGCGAGGAAGAGGAGAGAGGTGCGCGCGGCGCCGGGTCCGGCTTTGGGGGCGTTGGGGCGGCGCGTCCCGGTGGGGGCGCCGCGCCTCGGAGTGGGGGGGGGGGGCGCCGCGCTGCGAGGGGCCGGGCGGGTGGCGGGCGGCTCGGCCTCCTCTGTCCGTTAATTAATCGCTTAACACCTTTTCATTTTTATGACTCCGTTGCCTTTCTTCAGTTTTATCACTTTTTCCCCCCCAAATACTTTCTGCCGATTGTTTTCGGATTCGTTCTTTTTCCTCACAGCTTTCAGAAATTCGTCACTGTTTTCAAGAATTTATTTTACAATTCTTTCACGACTTCATTGATTTCTTTCCATGTATTTTTCCCAAATATTTCTCATTTCTTGAATTCATAATTTCTGTTTTAACATTTTTTTGCTTTTTAAATGAATTCGTTGGTCCCGCTACTTTTTCACAGATCAGGGGCATTTTTCAAGACTTTGAAAAACAAATTTCTTGCTTTTTCTCACACATTTTCCCAAGCTTATCCCTTTTGTTCTGTGAATTCATTTGTTTTTCACAAATTTTTCAAATTCATTGTTTTCACAATTTTTTTTAGAATTGATCTTTTTTCTTTCACGGTTTTGTCACAAATTTCAGATTTTCCAAACAAATTCACTTAAACAGAATTTGCGAAAATTCATTTTCACTTTTTTCGTGAATTTAACATTTTTTCATTCTATCATTATTAGTCGTTCATATTTCATATCACTGTATCACATCAGATAACCGTGTTGGCTTTTCATGAATTCATTCCATTTTTTCACCCCAATTTCTTCCTGATTTTTTAACTTTTTTTTTCAAGATTTCATCATGAATTCACCCAATTCTTTCACAAATGTGTGACCAGTTTTTGATACCATGCATTTTTTAAAGAATGCATCATTTTTTCACACGTTCATTGCATCCTATTTCGTATTCTTTTCACAAATTTACGTCTTTTTTTCATACAAATTAATTGAACTTTACCTTTTTTCAGTCTTTTTCTACATTTTTAACTTTTTTTCCACTATTTTTTTCACTTTTTCACAAATTCTTCACCTTTTCCTACAGATCCATGTATTTTCCCCTCACATTTATTATTTTTTTCACCTGCTTATTTCTTTTTTCACAACCTTTTTCATGAATTTATTATGTTTTTCATTTTTCACCTTTTTCACATTTTTTCACTTCTTCCCAAATACATTGCTTCTTTTACACTAATTCATGCTCTGTTCTCCCTATTTAGAAGACGTGGATGAGATGTTGCTGCTCACCAATTTTTTCTCTTTTTACACAATATTTTCATTAGGTTTTTCATTATTTTTTTCCAAACATTTCACACATTTTTCACAATTCCATTTGTTTTTTCATGGATTCATCACTTTTTTACATGAATTTGTTGCATTCTCTTCAGAAATTTTGTAAGAAGTCATTTTTTCATGTTATTCTTTTATTTTACAAATTCATGGCGCTCTACCTAAGGAATTGTCACGGATATGTCTTGCTTTTAGTTGGTTTTGGTTTTTTTTTAGTGAATCCCGTTTTTTTCTTCCACAATTTCTTCATGAGTTTTTTCCTTTTCTCTTTTTTCCCCACAATTTTATCATGAATGAACCTTTTTTTTTTTTTTTTTTTTTTTTTTAAAATTTTTTTAATAATTTTTTTTAATGCTTTTTTTTTTTTTCCAACTGATTCGTCCCTTTCTTCATGGATTCACCGCTTTGCATATTCTTCTCACAAATTTATCCATTTTTTCCACAATTTCATGGTTTTCTGCTACGCATGTTTGTCCCCACTTTGCAGAGGACCTGGCTGAGAGTTCACTGCTCAACAAGCTGCTCCACACCTCGCTGGTAGAGAACAGCCACCACGTGGAGGTGCTGCAGCAGGACCCCTCCTCCCCGCTCTTCTCCATCAGAACCTTCGAGGAGCTGCACCTGTGAGTCCCCCAGCACCTGGCCTCGCACACCCCACTTCCTATAGAACGCCCTGGTTGTGCTTTTTCGCAGGAAAAAGGAGCTTTTGCAGGGCGTGTACACCATGGGCTTCAACAGGCCATCGAAGATCCAGGCGAATGCTCTGCCCATCCTGATGGCGCATCCGTGAGTCCTGGCCCCGCAGGAAGGGATGAAGCAGCCCAGTGTGCTGCTCCGAGTCAGGTGCCGGCGCACAGACCCCAGACTTTTACTGCTAACATTTCCCTTGCAGACCCCAAAATCTGATTGCGCAGAGCCAGTCTGGGACGGGCAAAACAGCAGCATTTGTCCTGGCCATGCTGAGCAGAGTGAAAGGCGCTGAGAGGTACCCGCAGGTGTGCAGCAGGGGCACGGCCGCTGGGAGGGGCAGAGATCTGGGTCTGCTGCTGTTGTGTATGGCTTTGGGGTGTTGCAGGCAGAGCTCTGGGTTTGTGTCCGTTTTGTCATTGCTGTTGATTATAATCTCAAGTATCGTCATTGCTGCTCATTGTAAACTCAAGCATCCTGGTTACTGCTCACTGTAATCTCGAGCATCCTGGTTACAGTTTTTTGAAGTCTCTAATATTAAACATCCTAATTGATGCTCATTATAATCTGCAGCTTCCTGGTTGCTAGTTGCTAGTCATTCGTACTTTTCAATGCTTTTTGATGCTTTTTGATGCCTGCCTGTTGCCTAATACCTCTCCCCCCCCTCCCAGTGCCTTTGTCTGGCTCCCACTTATGAGCTGGCCCTGCAGATTGGCCATGTGGCAGAGAAGATGGGGCGGTTCTGCAATGACATCAGGGTCACCTATGCTGTGCAGGGCAACAGAGGTTAGTCCAGCCCTGATGAGTGATTACAGCAGTTAGCAATCCCTAAGTGAATATAGGAATGCCTCATAAGCCTTGAAGTGCCAGGGCTTGCTGAAGCTTGCAGAGCTTGCTGAAGGAGCCTGCATTCACGTGTGCTGCTGATAAGGAGCCACCCTGATGACTACTGTCTTCTTTTTGACACAGACACCCATTTTGCTGGTATCTAACCTCAAAAAGCTGCAGGCAAGCACTAAGCTTAAAAATTGCTGCCTGCAATTTTCAGAGCTTCAGCTTCAGAGCTTCCCTTTGGAACTGAGAAAGTGAGGGACAAACTGACATGAAACACATCAAACTGACAGAAGCACATAATTTGTGGAGTTTCCTGCTGGAAACCCCTTTGCACATCGTTTTGCCCATGCCTTGTCCATTCCTTCCTTCTTCCTTGTCCCTTTCTTTAGTGTTCCTTGCTTGTTCCTTGTCCATCCCTTTTCTTGTTTCCATTCCCATGTCCTTCCCATTTTTTTTGCCCACCCCTCACCCATCTCCCATTTTTTGCCTGTATCTTTTTCCTTTTTTTGGCACCCTTTGCCCCTCTCCTTCCCTTCTTTTGCAACCCCTCTGGCAGTGTCCCCAGGCACCGTGCTGGAGGAGCAGATTGTCATTGGCACGCCAGGCACCATGCTGGACTGGTGCTTCAAGCGGAGACTGCTCAACATGAGGAGGATCTGCATGTTTGTGCTGGATGAGGCTGACATCATGATTGACACGCAGGGATTCTCCTCCCAGAGCATCCGCATCCAGAGGTGAGTCATGGAAATCTGCTTTTGGCATGGGAAGATGCAAAAGGAGGGAGGAGGGAGGTAAGATTTTTCACAAAGGGCTTGCTTTCTCCAAAATGCGCTGGTTTGTTTGTGTTTTTCCATAAGACTCACATTCGTTGTTCAATTGTAAAATTTTCACCAGAAAGTGCTAATGTACAAAGTCCTAGAGTAAATGAGTCCCATGGGCTAACAAACTATCAGTGCTCTTGAGTCCACTGTGCTATGTAGTTCCTCTTTTTAATGAATCCTTAGTGCAGACAAGCTGTTAAGTCTGACGAGTTCTTCTCCCGCCCCAGGGCTCTCCCCAAGAACTGCCAGATGCTGCTTTTCTCCGCCACCTTCAAGGAAAATCTCTGGAAATTTGCCCTGCAAATTGTCTCCAGGCCCATCATCATCAAGCTGCGACAGGAGGAGCTCACTCTGACCAACATTAGGCAGTACTATTTTGTCTGCCAGAACTGGGAGCAGAAGTATGAGGCCCTCTGCAACCTCTATGGCAGCATCACCATTGGCCAGGCCATGATCTTCTGCCAGGTACCTCTCATCTGCAAACTAGTGAGTAACTAGTATTCTGTCTGGCATGCTCAACCCAAGAGTCACCGCAGTGCTGCTCCATAGATTGCCACAATGAATGCAGGGGAAGGATGGAAAGCACACAGCATTCAAAACTCAGTGTGGTAACAGTGCCTAGTAGTTGAGACCACCAATGCCTTGGTGGGCATTGCATGGAAACCATGCTCTGTTTCTTTAACATTTACACTTTGTGTCTAGCAAAGACACTTTGTGATACAACTTCTTGCCCTGCTGCTTCATTTTTGCTCCTTTGTGTCCCAACTTCCTGCTTGTTTTTGCCTTATTTTGAGGCTCTGTCTATTCCAAAGCACCAGGGGCTCAATGGAAAGGAGCACAGGCATTGGGAATGTGAAGGACTGGCACTGAGCAAGCAAGGATTTGGTAAAGTGATGTATTGGCATTAAGCTAGATAAGCAGTAGTAAGGATTTGGGGAAGTTGAAGGGTTGCTGATTGAGAGCAGCAGATGCAGAGCTGCTGGGAAGCTCAGCCTTTTCTCATGTACGCAGACCCGCCGGAGTGCAGACTGGCTCTCGGTGAAGATGATTCAGGATGGGCACCAAGTGGCCATGCTGACAGCAGAGCTGTCCATCGTGCAGAGAGCTGATGTCATCCAGAGGTTTCGTGATGGCAAGGAGAAGGTTCTCATCACCACCAATGTCTGTGCGAGAGGTCAGTCCCAAAAACGGACACACTGAAGGGTGAAAATCTGCTTGCTTCCCCTATGAAAATTCCTTTGCTCTGAGCCCTGTTGTGTGGAAATCCCCTCGCTTTGAACAGTTTTAAGCACTTAGGTTTCATGCTTCAAGTTTCCAACCATGCAGTGACAGGCAGAACTTTATCATGAAAGCTGAGGCTTTTCTCAGTATGATTCTGTGAATTAGGAAAAATTGACCACAATGGGGACTCGAAGGCAAAAGGGATGATAAATGCAAGTTTATTACAGAAATGATCACAAAAAGAAAAAAAATGATCAGAAATGCAAGGAAAAATTGGTCAGAAAGGCAAGGAAAGAGGGATTAGAATGGGAATTTGAGAGAAAAAGTGATCAGAAATGCAGGTGAAGCAGTGATCTCATCCAATGTGCACAGCAATTAAGAAGCAGCCTTCAGAAGGGGTTGGGAGATGGCTTTTAGGGTGATAAAAAGCTGTTTTTGAGAATCCTCTGCCACTCAGGGATTGATGTGGCCCAAGTCACGATTGTGGTGAACTTCAGCCTTCCCATCAACCGTCAGAAGCAGCCAGATTTTGAGACGTATTTGCACCGCATCGGGCGCACAGGGCGCTTCGGGAAGAGGGGCATTGCCTTCAATATGGTGGACAGCCACAGCACGCACCTCGTGCGCTGCATCGAGGAGCATTTCCGTGAGTGCAGTGTTCCCTTGTTCCTCTGTTCCTCCAGTGCAGCCAAGGACTACAGGCTCACCACTTGGTCGTCCACTTCTCACTTCTTTCACTTCTGCAGTAGCTGGAATTTCGTTTTTGGTTAAAAAAAGCAAACAGGGAGTGGAACTTTGCAGAGACAGAGCTGAGAAATGATTTAATAAGAATATGTAATTTAATAAGATATAATGATACAAAATTAGAAGACAGACTAGAAGGATTAGAAGCAGGGCTGAGCACGCTGATCTGCCCCATTTTGCAGTCCTGTTTTCTGCTTTCTCTGGCCACTCTTCTCTGTGTTTCTCCCTGCTGCCTCCTCGTCCATATTCTGTTACAGGTTTCTAACAATTCTATTCTGTGATTCAGTTCCCTTACCCTTCCCACCACAGCTGTGTTTTTCTCATGCTTTTCCCAGTTATAAAATGCAGGGTGAGCCCCCTGGAGTGGTCCCTGTGATTAACAACAATGAATGAGCTTTGTTCCTTGTAGTTGTCTCAATGTTTGTTTGTTTCTCTCAGTTTTCTTTCTCTTTTTTCCCCTTTTCTCTTTGTTTCCCAAAGATGAGACTTAATGTGGCAAAGAGACCAGCGTGTAGTTTGCAAGATGAAAAACCAAGTGGTGGAGTAACCTCAATTATCTGATCTTATTTCTTCATTTTCTACAGTCAGTATTCATGTTGAGATTGAAGGGACAGGACTGTCTTACAAGGATAAAACATCTTCCAAATGTTGTTTGCTTTTAGGATAGAACATCTTCCAAATCTTCCATTTTTTAGATTAAAATATTGTATAAATGTTTGTTGTTTTGGGGACAAAAACTCTTTCGAAAATTGTGCCTTAATTCCTAGTGAGTGATGAAAATTGATGTGGGAGCCCAGATCACATCTCACCTCAACCCAAACTGATGCTTTTCACTTAAACCCTCTGTACAAATCTTACTTTTTTTTAGCAGCCCCAAAGCAGTGGCACCTTGCCATTGCCTGGGACATTTTTCCTTCTTGCACTGACATTTTTTTCCTTTTTACAGAGACTAAGATCAAGAGGCTGGACCCAGATTGCATGGACAAGCTTGAGGAGCTGGAAAACTGAGCAAAAAACATGGCTTAGCTTCAAAGAACTCACGTTTTGGTTTAAAGTATATGGGAAATCCAGGAGAAAATCTCCCAGTTTTCTGAGTTCCTGGAGGTGCTTGGTTTGTTGTGACATTTTAGAAGGAGAGTACGGGGAAAAACCCTCAGCCTAAAAAAATTATTCTGATTGGTTTCTTTGGTGTTTTGGGGGAAGGAATCTTGGTGTTTTGTGGAGATGCTCCTTGATTTTCGGGCAGTGTTTGCCTGTTTTGGGCACTGTTGCTGTTTGGGATACTGCTGCCCTGTTCTGGGCTCTGTTCCTTGTTTTCAGGTGGTGGTTTGTGGTTCTGGGGCACTGTTTGTTGGCTGAGGGTACGATTCCTTGTTTTGTTGGTTGTTGTTGTTTTTTTTTTCTCTGAAGGAAATAAGTGTAAAGCAGACAAGTCCCAGTTCAGCCATCTCGGTGTCTAAGATTTGTGCAGAAACTAGTCCTGATGAGAGGAAGCACTGTTCTGGAATGTGTTAATTTCAAGGCGTGTGGAAACTCTGGGGAACCAAAAAACAGTTTATTAAAGATTATAAACACGAGGGAAAAATGCTATTTTTTTTCCTAATTTCTTTTTTTCCATTTAAATAAAAGAGTTTGGTGCTAAATGATCCCTTCGTTTTAGAGGGTGTTCAGCATACAACATCAAAAACATTCAGTTACTCCAGTAATTTTCTCAGGTCAGCACCAAAATGTTTTACATTATTGGTAAGTCTGGGCTCTTAATGGTGGGCCTGATTTTCCTCTCACTGACATCAGGATTGAATTAATGGAAGACTATGGATTTGCACTGCAGTATTGCAATGAATGGGGTTATACCACAGAAATCTGCTGTGGCCACATGAGGGTAGTAACACTAAAAGCCTCTTTCATCTGCATTTCCTACAAATTCTGCAGGAAATTCCTAAAAGTTAACTGCTCTCACCCCTCCAGTTATTATTACAAAACTTTAATTGAGAATTAACTTCACCTTTTTTGTTGGTGGTGCATTGTTTACTGGGTTGTCAATCTTAAGGCAGGTAGTGTCACATAATAAAGGTAGTGTCACAGAGATTACTAACTATGCTGAATTTCATCATGCCAGGCACCTGCATCTCTCACCTTCAGAATATTGTTGTTAACGTTTACAGGTTTTGGGTTTTTTTTTAAGTTTTAGGTTTTAAGGGAGAGGAAGGAAGACAATTTTTCCTCTGGGACTGAATGTTTGCTTTCATTTTGCCAGTTGCGTTGTCTCCCAGTACTCTAACAGCAGACAGGTCAGCAGGAAGTCAACTATTGTACAGCAGGACGCCCTGACAGTTATTTCCTGACTCACAGGCGATAGTTTTTGAGAAGATTTAATGTCTTTTTTCTTCCTTTCTCTTTTTTTTTTTTCTTTTTTCTTTTACAAAAAGTACAAAGAATGTTTTCCAGCACTGTGTTTGGAGGACATAGATGCCTTCAGGCACAGGGACAACGACACCTGGTGCCAGTGTTCATGCCTGCAACCCACACTCAGCAGCCACCTCAGCTCTACTCTGCTGCTTACATGATCTCCCTTACCTTCGCGGGGCTTCCAGCTCTCCTGACTGTGGTTAAGGGTATCTTTTCAGCAGGCAGTCTGTACGCATGTCCTTTCCACTGCTCTCCACATTTTCCTTTCCCTTTTCTCTTTATTCATTCATATACTTCCCAACTATTTGGCTGCTGTATGAGTTAGAAACTCGTCCCATCTCGAAAGTCTAATGAACTCTTTAGTCAACTTCTTAATTGTGTTTATCATAGAACCATATCACAGAATCACAGAACAGGCTGGGTTGAAAGGGACCACAATGACCATCTC